TCTCTCTGCACGCTGTCGATTGGTCCCTGTAACGGCCTTTTCCAGCTTTGAAGCTCAGTTTATTCACTTAGACTGGAATGGTCCTGTATGTCTAGGGGTGTTTTACCGTCCTCCGCACTCTACTAAGGATTTTATACTGCATTTCACTTAACTGATCGGCAATATTGCCACAAATTACGATCGCTTTCTATTGGTGGGCGATTTTAACATTCATGTCTGCTGTCCGTCTAACCCCTTATCACATGACTTTCTTAATCTCATCGACGCTTTTAATCTATCCCAGTGGATCAATGTCTCTACTCATATTCAGGGACATACGTTGGATCTTGTACTCTCATATGGGCTTGATGTGACTGATATTATGCTCTCAGATTTTATGATCTCTGACCATAAGCCTATATTATTCTCACTGTCTCTTCCAGATCTCTCTCATTTTTCTAATACACCTGTAAATCTTTCTCGTTTCTACTCTCCACAGTTTAGCACAAATTTCAACTTGTGCTTTGCTGAATGTTGCTCACAGTTGCACTTGGATCAACCATTATCTGACTTGGATGCTGATCAACATCTTAGCCTCGTGAATTCTGCCTGGCTTAAGGTAGCAAATGCAACTGCCCCCCTTAAGCCTCACAAGCAAAAACCAAAATCTGCACTGTGGCAAAACTCTGATACCCGTCTCCTAAGACAAAACTGCAGAAAGGCAGAACGTAAATGGAAAAAGGACCGGCTGCATATCTCTCTTCAAATGTTCAGAGACTCTCTTACATCTTATCAGACTGCAGCGACGTCTGCGAAAGCTGCATACTTTTCTAATCTAATTGAAACTAATCATTCTAAACCCGTTTTGTTTTCAATTATTCAAGCGGTCACAAATCCTTCAGTTAACACCTTGCCTGTTGCCTCTGATGCTCTCTGTGAAAGCTTCTTGAGATATTTTAGTGACAAAATTATTTAACTTAAGGCTTAGCGTCTGCCCCACTTTAACTTTAACTGTCTCTCCAATTATGTCATCTGCCTCTGCATTTTTGGATGTTTTTTAACCTATCAACCCCCAGGAATTGAAGCAAGTGATTGACAAGCTTAAACCTTCATTCTGTTCTAGTGATATCATTCACCCAAGATTTTTAATTAATTATCGATTCGATTGGGTCAGGTTTGGTGTCTCTTATTAATAAGTGTCTCCAAACCGGCTCTGTTCCTGCCAACCTTAAAGTCGCTATGGTCACTCCTCTGCTCAAGAAGCCTTCACTGGATCCTTTGGTCCTAAAAAAATTTCGGCCTATTTCTGTTCTACCTTTCATTTCAAAAGTTTTGGAGAAAATTGTGCTGAATCAACTTCAACATTTTCTGACTAGTAATTGTATTTTATGAGGTTTTTCAATCTGGTTTTAAGTCTGCTCACAGCACTGAGTCCGCCCTTTTGAGAGTGTTAAATGATATTTACCTCTCTGATTCTGGAGACTCGGTGGTTCTTATTCTTTTAGATCTATCGGCGGCTTTTGATACCATAGACCACTCCTCACTATTACGCTAGGTTCTTCTACAATTACCCCATCAACTTCGGTCAAATCTTGGTGTAACCTTTGACCAGCTGACCTTCAAAGACCACATTGCAAAGACCGCTCGATCTTGCAGGTTTGCATTGCACAACATCAGAAAGATCAGGCCCTTTCTAACGGAGCATGCTGCACAACTTCTTGTCCAGGCCCTTGTCATTTCTAGGCTGGACTACTGCAATGCTCTTCTGGCTGGACTTCCATCAAGCACAATCAAACCTCTACAAATGATTCAGAATGCAGCGGCACGACTGGTCTTCAGTGAGCCCAAAAGAGCCCATGTTACACCTCTCTTTATCTCCTTGCACTGGCTACCGGTT